CGAGAAAAATTTGATGAGTTTGTAGTGCAGCCATTTGATGTATTACTTATTCACTATTATCCATCATTACGTCTAGACGTTTAGCGAGGAATCTGTAGTCATGTCGTATGTTTGTTTGAACAATGGCCCCAGGTTTTTTCATATTCAGATACTTTAACAGGGAAACGTGCTCAACTTGATGCTGCTTTGAGCTTTTTGTCTCAACAAGTGGTTTGATTGGACGAAATTATTGTAGGGACATATGTGGTAGAAAGCAGCCACCGGTAACACATGTAAGGACGTCCACTATCTGTGACGGTGCCGAACAGAAAGACTTTGGGAAACTTCCTTTTAAACGGACTTTTGACTCAAACCCGTGCACCAGAAATCTTCTAAGAACTCCTCAAACTGTGAGCTGTGCTGAAGTTCACGAAATATTTTCTATGGTTGTTTTCGTGTGTGTGTTTTTTTTTTTTTTTTGTATTGGGGTTGTTATGGGGCAAAATTATAAAATCTTCTAACGTTTCCTCCCAATGTTTCTGAGAAAACTAAAGAACCATTATTTTTTAGAATTGGAATATGAAAAATGAATGAATGTATAAATGTGAAATGAAATTTTTTTTATCCACCATTTCTGTTTTGAAAGCAAAAATAAAGCAGAGAGCCTTACCCTTGTAGTAGCTTTTTTCCTTTGAATTCTTGGGGGACAACGACTTCTGTTTTTATGCATCGTTTATTGTTTCTAGCCATTTGTGGTTCTAGAGGTTCAAAGAAATCCCCAACCCGCTGATTATACCAACAGTATAGTCCCTATTCTTTTAGACCATAAAAACCTTCTTTTTCCGTTCATAGTAACACGCCCAAAAGGTCATTGCTTGGTAGGAACATGTCATGGGGGGCGTTGGGCGCTACCTTGTTTTCGTGTTTTGGTTGGCAAACTCATGAGCTGATCACTAAAATCGCCTGATGGTCGCTAATAGGGAAAGCGAAAATACGTCTTAGTCAGTAAATTTAGCTTCACAATGCAAGTCCCATCATGACCGTAACAAAGCCAGACGCATCCCTTTATCGAAATCCTTAATTCGGGCATTACACAATACCCCCTATCAAAACTCTACCTGTTGCCAGAAAGCTTCAGCTCTGACGTTTCAGTGGAAACCAAGCTCAAAGCTTAATCCCTAACCTGCGTGCAGACTTCCCTCTATTTGTTAAGTCTGCACGCAGACTAGTTTATCCCTAGTAAAATTGCGTACTATGTACTTTCCCTTTGTTCTAGAACTGAAAGCTAAATACTTCCGCTTCTTAGAACTCAAACACGGAAGAAACTTGAAAGTACTTTCAGCAGGTGAAAGGAGCTTTTTAATGAAACGTGAAAGTTATCAGCATAATAAATAAACGATTTACTTTCTTCTGTCACAAAACCTTGATTTTTCATATCCCCCGGGTTATCATAGCGAAAGTCTGACGTGTGCAGGGGATTAACAAACTGCGAACTTATGCATTGAAAAAGCAACTTTCACCCACCTCCTCCGCGTTATTCTTCAAAGTGCTATAATAACATTACTACATAAATGAATCGTGCTGATATACCCTTTCACGATTCAATCAACATGTCTTAACCTACTGACATCATTTCAATGGCATTTGTCAAACAAGTTTATTATGTTTGACAATAAACTGTTTATTTTGTGTTTCTATTCGAAAAATAATATTTAGAATTTAAATAACATTCATTTTCACCTTATGGTACCTTATGAAACTTTTGTCACTTGCAATCATACATTCTATTCGTCCCTTCATATAGGCTAAACAGTATTGTAAAAAAAGGCCCACATAATAAAATTAACTGTCATTATAACAATCATAACTTCAGGTTTTTTTTTTCATTTTTCATTTTAAAATTATTTATGCACGGTAGCCCCGTCAGTCATGACTGATTTTCAGGGGGCCGTGCCAAAAACTTTACAAATTAAAAAAATCTACTAAAATTAATAACAAAAAAAGGAAACTAATTACAATCATAAATAATTTATTTACAACTATTTGCAATAAATTTACAAAAAACCCTTTATCCTGTTCTTAAAAGAAGATAAAGAGGGAGCTTGCTTGGCCTCGCGGCTGAGATCATTCCAGATTTTTGCTCCACGAAATGCGAACGCTTCTGTCCATTACTAGTTTTCATGAATGGCACTAGCAAGTCAGTTTCGGCATTTCTAAGGTTGATACAATTGCGTTCAGAATTTCTAACAAATAAATTCGAGAGATAATCAGGCGCGAGACCATTAACAGATTTATATACAGTTGTTGCAGTCTCACTTCTGATCATATCCCTTACAGTTGGCCATCTTAACTCTGTAATCAAAGCTTCAGCAGGAGCATCGTAGCTGCTATTTGTAATAATTCTAGCGGCTCGATTCTGCAATTACCGATCTGAACGTATACCGATCTGAAAACTTTTTACAAAATTTTTGTTTTTCCTCTATAACTCAGCACATGAAGCATCGATTACCTAGAATTTTTCAGGAAAACTGAATCAATCCTTTTTCTATCCAAAAATTGAAAAAAAAATTCAAAATGTAGTACCAAAAACCGGGGGTAGTGTCCTACTACAGGCCAACTTCTTAAAACTCTGCAGAAAACTAGGGCAAACCTCGACTTTTATTTGCACATTTGTGACAAAAAACAGTTAATAAAGATTGCTATGAGTGAAATGACTGTTTTAGATTTTTGAAAAATCAAAAGACGGGGGGGTTAACCCTAGAAAACTGTTTTTTAAAAATAAATAAATTCTGAAAGCCCACATGAAAAAAACAAGACAGTCATTGCATAGAACATCAAAAATTATATATTGCTTGAAAATTTCAGGCCTATAACCATAGGCATTACAAAACTACAGTCCGCAGCGCAAGTTTATATCAAATTGCACACTTCTGAGAAAAAAGGCTTCAAAGTTTTTACATGATATTTGAATTGCTGTGATGGTAAAAGTTCTGTCCCTTTCAGTTATGAATTAAAAAGTAAATGAAACTGCAACAGGAAAATGATTATTTGAATAAAAACCTGAAAATACTTCAGTCCCAGATTGAATTTTATAGTTTGTAAAACAGGGGGTAACGTTTGTATAAAAATTCAGAATAGTCATTTTGAAAGTATAGTAGGTTGAAGTATGGAAAAAAATTATATGAGTTTGCAGCATTTTGAAAACAGTCAGTTTGTGATAAGAATAAAATTTCACCAGTAACTTTGTGATCATTAAAAACCTTATACATTACTTCATGCTAAATTGTCCTTATTGATTGTATCTGACTTTCATCTACGAACATGATTTTCGGCTCGTCCAATGTTTTCTGGATAACTTCCTTCTTGGAGTTAGCATCAATTTTAAGTTTCTTTTTGGGATTCAATTTCCCTTGCTCCTGCTGATTGACTGTCATTTTCTCTTGGTTTCTTGCACCTTCTTTGTCAGTAATTCTCTTTCTCTTTAATCCATATTTGGTTACAGTATTTATTTGAGTCCCAACTGCATATGCTTCTGGTTGTTTCTCAACACCAAAAGCACCAGGAAGGTAAGAAACTGTTTCATTAGCACTCTTTGATTTCCTCTGGCCTCTTTTCTTTCTTCTCAATAACCTTGCTTTCTCTGAAACTTTCCTTGCTGCTTCTTTTACCCTATTAATATCTTCATGCCGCAAAGCTGAAAGCATATTAGAGCTTGGCTCTACATCTAAAGCTTCCATTAAAGTTAGTGTAGAACCAGCACCAGTGTTGAAATGACAAACAGTTTCAGAAACAGCCAAAACAACCCTTGCTCTCCCACAGAACTTTGTTTTGGGGCATCTGCTCCATAACACACCATTTAAAGCTTCATTTTGATTCTGGGTGACACCCATTAGACAGCGGCTCAGCAAGGTGTCATTTGAAAGCCTTTTGAAAATTGGTGTTAGCTCTGGCATGAAAACTGCTGATAGGCGCTTTATGTCATTGTAACTGACTCTGTCTTTCCAGAATTTGCACCAACTTTGGCTATCTTTTGGGCAATTCCTGTGCTGTTCCTCTAAAGTTTTCCCATCCTCTTTTACCATGTGTGACAATATTGCGAGGATATCTTTCTTCATGCCTTCAAGATTACCAGAGTTTTTCCTTATTGCCTGGCCATAAAAATTCTGCATTTTATCAACAACTTTGTCTGTTAGACGCCCTATTCCACCAGCACCTTTGCCATCACTTATTTTTTTCCCCTTCATGTTGAGTTTGTATCGACGCAGAGCTGTACCAAGGCGCTTTTGGACATGTCCAACACACTCTTCCTTGACAACGACATAATTATCTTTAAATTTCTTGTGACACTCTTCCTTTACATTCGGAAAACAGTCACTGTCACCATCGCCAACAAAAGTTGTATACTTTAGGTTTCTTGTTGAAACTGACCGCAAAAATATTTCTTTGGCACCTTCTTTCTCCATACTATCTGAGGACCCTGTATGGTTAATACTGCAGTTTTGTTTATGGTTAATCATCCATTCTTTGTATGCTTCTTGCAACATATTTGCAGCTCCATGTTTCATGCACTCATGGCAAGTCATACTTTTGACTACAAAATCCAAAACTTCACCAGTTTTTACTGAAATTACAAAAACTACACCATTTTTGGAGCAATGACCACGGCGCTGCCATGTTCCATCTACTGTCACAGCTACTTTTGCTATAGGTGCACCATCCTCATCAGCTTCTATATTTTCAGGCTCTTCCTCCTGGGTAATCTTTATAAGTCTTTCAGCAGCCTCTTTAGTGCACTTAACAGCTTGTTGATGAGCAGTGTCAGACAGATTTTTCAAAATTACATTAAAGGCCTTTGCATTTGGTGGCTTAGGTAAATCTGTAGATGCACAAAACCTTGAGAGACCTTTTAGCCCCAATCCTTTTGAGGCAGCATGTACAGCTCTCAAATTAACATCAAAAGGCCCTTTTGCTTTTGTCTTGTGACTTGAGACAAGCTCTGTTGATGTCTTGCAGAGACTACATTGAAGAAAAAATTGTTGAGCAAGTCCTTTTCTACAATTCTCATCTTCGAAAAGAGTCAATTTGGATTTAGGATTTCTGCATTTTCCACAGATTGCAGCAGAACTCACACAATCTTGGATTCTTTTGACTTCAATAAGTGCATAGCCTGAACCTTCCACTAGCCCCACCTTTTTTATCCTTCCTGTCATAGCACTTCTTCTCCTGGTTACCCTTCCCTTTGTTGGACTTCGATCCAACTTGCAAAGAACAGAGTTCTTCAGCTTTTCAGCACTTTTATTTCTTACTTCTTTTAACGATGTTTTCGGAGTACTTGTGCTTGGTTCACTGGCTATATTGGCATCTGCATTGCCCAAACATTGTTGTTGGTTGGCGACACTGTTATCGCCGAACGGCCTAGGCCTATCTGAGATGCATATTTCATTATCCTCTCGGGGCCTTATGTTTGCATTACAAACCCGTCTTTTCTTTCCTTTCCGTCTAGCTAAAACTCTCGTTTTCATCTTCTTTATGAAATAAGCAACAGTCAAAAAATAATTCCTCAATTTGAAGCGCGCAAGTAGGACACAAATAGGTACCATAAATTGCCTACTGAAAATTGAAGTCAACCATAAAGTACAGGCCAAGAGTAGCAAGAAGACTTGGTTATAGCTTTTTTGAGCCTGCACTTAACCTACAAAGGAGCTCTGTTGAAATCCTTGACGAAATGTTTATCCTACATTCGAAAATAGGGAAAATAAGTACCCTAGCAACCAAAATTTGCGTTGCTATGGAAAATTGATGATACCTGACTATGAAAAAGCTTAATTTTTGACATGTTACTGTTGCAAGAATATAGAATCATAACACAGCCACGTAAATCGATCGTTTTTGGAGCTTTTAGACAAAGAAAAAAAAAATGACCAAATTTTATTTTTTTCTTACTTGATCTGTATACGTCTACCTTAACCAGTCGGAACTCTGCACAGCTCCCCCACACAGTACAGCAGTACCGAAAATGTGGCTCTACAATACCTCTATATAATTTGCAAAGTACATTTTTTGGCAAAAATTTCTTTGCATATTTTAAAAAACCTAACGAGCGGGAGACTTTGGCTTGAACAGATTTAATTTGCTCGTCCCACACGAGGTATTGGTCAACTTGGACACCAAGATACTTAATACTGTCGACAATTTCTACAGGGGAATCATCGATAACGAATGCAGGTGAACCCACAGTGTTTTCACCAATCTTTTTCAGATTTGGTCTAGATCCAATTACCATTGCCTGAGTCTTGGTTACATTCAAAGACAATTTATTGCCCTGAAGCCATTCTTTCAAACATTTCAATTCGTTGTTGAGCGTTTCAGTTAGATCGTCAATGCTCTTAGAGGAATAGGATATGCTAGTATCGTCGGCGTACATCGTAACTTTGCAGTTTTTCAAGGCGAATGGCAGATCATTTATATAGATTAGGAAGAGTAGTGGACCTGAACAAGAACCTTGTGGGACACCACAGTTGATGATTCCGATGTCAGATTGCACTCCATTAACCTTAGTGAATTGCTGCCTACTGCTAAGATATGATTTGAACCATTGAAGCTCAAGACCCTGAATTCCGTACTTAGATAGCTTTTGAATAAGTATGGCATGATCAACAGTATCAAAAGCCTTTTTCAAATCAATGAAAATATTTCCTGTAAATTTTCCACGCTCAATATTAATGTGCCAGTCATTAGTGCCAGAAAGCAAGCAAGTTACAGTGGAATGCAGAGCTCTAAAACCTGATTGGCCAGAATACAGAAGTTTATTTTTGTCTAGATAATCATATAATTGGTTGTAAATCAATTTCTCAAAGAGTCTTGCCAGAAATGGGAGCACAGAAATCGGTCTATAATTGGAACGATTGTTTTTTTCTCCACTTTTAAAGATTGGGGCAACCCTTGCAGTTTTCCAATTTTCAGGAAAAACTCCAGTGGCAATTGAGAGGTTAAAAATGTCACAGAGAGATTCTGCAATGACAGAGAATGCGATCTTTAGGAAAATTGTTAGCAATGCCATCAGGACCGAAACCCTTGGACGTTTTGAATTTGCCAAAAACCTTTTTTATCTGAGGAACATCAAAGGCTTGTAATTTAAACTGTAAATTTTCAGGGTTCACTTCCAGCTTATCTTCAACAAGGGGGTTGGCTTTCTGTGGAATTTTGTCACTAAGAGATTTGCCAATATCACAAAAGAAATCATTCATTGTCTGAGCAACAGCATTATTATCGGTAACATGCTTACCATCAACATCAAGTGACTGAATTTGAGTCGTTTTTGATTTCTTATTGAGAACCATGTTAATGGTTTTCCAAGTGTTTTTAAGATCACCTTGGGAAAGGGCAATCTTATTCGTAAAATATTCGCGCTTTAAATCTTTGTTTAATCTATTGACCCTATTTCTCATTTGTTTATAAGCATCCATGAAAATTTTGGACTTTGAGCGCACAGCTGCCAATTTCAACCTGTCTCTTGTAGCAGACAAACATTTGAAATCCTTCGTCAACCAGGGGCAAAACTTTTCTGAAACCCTCCTGCAGCGTAAAGGAGCATGTTTTTCTAGAATCAACGAGAACATATTTGTCCATTGCTCAACGATGAGGTTTATATCATCGGTATTTGAAACAATGCTTTTCCAGTCAATTTGTTGAAGATCACTAAGAAAGTTTTCTTCGTTGAAATTTTTCATTTGCCGAGTGGAAATGTTTTTGTGCTGTTTTTTAGCAGTATCTCTAAATCTTTTAACACAGTAGACCAAATAGTGATCACTTATAGTTGTCTCATAAACACCAGATTCTACAATAAAAGCTTTATTAGTTGTTGCAATATGATCAATCAGAGTGGCAGTTGTAAGAGTTTCCCTTGTACTTCTTTTGAATCTTAGGTCTATCAGAATTGAGGGCTTTGAAGCTTCAGCCCCCATCCCTAACAATCTCAGGGAAATGTTCTTTGAATTAGGAATGGCAGATGACTCGTTATTCTACCAGCAAAGCCCATATAAAATTTAGATCCTCCAGCTCTTCTGTGCCATGCCATTGGACTTCCAGTTGCGGAATATTTTTCAAGATATAAAACACAATTCTAGATTTAATAATCTGGTGAGTCAACAAAAATGTTTCAAGCTCTTACCTGCCAGCTCCGAAAGATTTGCTGTTTTGAAAGCGTGATGGGACAGCACTACTTTTCTAGAAAGAAAATCAATTGGTATGGTATAAATTGCAGCAAAGGAGACTTCAATTTCAAAACAGAGGTCGTAGAAGGGATAACTCCCAATAACTCCAGAATGCTTGAAACAATTCATCGAATAATTTTGCTATTTTTTTTAATTTGGCTGTAATTCATTGCAATAAAAGTATATTCATAAATGTAAACAAATTATTTACTTCCAATAACGAACATCTGCTTACCCCTTTTGTTGCTTAATACCTTAAAATCTTTTCTAAATTTTCCCGTTTTACAAAATGGTGTTACTTTTAACTTTCCTTGAAAACATCCAAATTAAGTGCCTAAAAGCATCAAATGCCTAAACATTCTAAAGATTGCCTAAAAGCATCAAATGTATGCACAATGCCTCTTAATACCTTACAATTTCCTCACCTTTAATAGCATTCTCTTCGTGGACTTCTCATTATATAAGTCATGATGATACAGACGAGTTCTTTGAATTAAATAAAATAGTAAAACAGGCATTTTCGTAAAATACAGGCAAATGGCAACTTACCGATCCTCGTAAAAGTAGAATTGGTGTATTGACACCATAGTTCCCATTTCCCATTGTCTGAAAATAGTTTAGAGAGTGCTCGATAGAATTTGGTCATAAGAGTTGAAGAAAGACGGCCTATTTCGGTATACATACTTTATCTCTAGGCGTGCACGAAAAGGATTTCTGTGTAGGTATCTAGAAATAGCTTGGTTATCTGAGGGTCCCTAGGGTATTAAAAATTTGAGGGGCATGCTCCCTTACATTGTCTCCCAAAAGAGGACAGAAAATAGGCCTAGAAGACAAGAGATATTTAAATAAACAAATGTGGATTAACACGCCCCCTTATAGCGACCGGCCTGTGCGATCAATAGACAACTGTTTACAAATAAATACGACACACAAATCCATACCATGATTGCTTGCATTAAGATTAAGACTTCCTTTCCAAAATCGTACTTCTGTCCAATCTGAGGAGCACTTGATGGTATTAACGATGATCTCTGGATTCTATAAATATTTTCAGCTTTAGGTTAAAACTCTTGAAAAATACTGACAAATGTAGAGGGAGAGGACCTGCGATCTTATTGTGGACCTGGAAATTGATGTTGTAAGAAAGAAAATGTCCAATCAAATAACAGAGCATAACGATACTGAATCTATAATAATAGCTGTGGTTAGACGCTCTTATTATCAGCTTTGAGTTAATATCTCCACCAAGGAGAGCTTGGGAAACCAAGAATTTGATGAGGTACTTTCAGAGAACTTTCAGAAACAAAAATTTATCTAGCAGCTACATTCTCACTATCAGTAAGGTAAAATGGGATGAATAGTGTATAAAAAGCAAATAGTTCCAATTAATAATGGTCACTAGTTATGTGGACATAATTTGGCACTGTTTGGAAAATATTAAAAATATAGTGACCAGCCCCCCCCCCTTCTCTAATCATTCCCCATCTTTCAGGATTCTGTTGCTACCGCATTTTTAGCTTAAATACTTTCATTCGAAGCAGAAACTGGAACAGCGTCCATTCTTCCAGAATCTATTTTCAATAGTCTAAACATTGAATTTCTTGATAAAAATGAAGTGCTCAAGATGTGACTGGTTATAGGCGAGGAAGAGAAATAAAATAACCAACCTCCCACGACAGACATCACAACATTCTTCTTGGCCACCGACATCATCAGAAGCTTCAAAATGCGACAAAATAGCTCTAAAAAAATGAAAATTTACTTACCATCTTGTAAAATGTAAAAATATAAAAAAAATTGAAAAGCTTATGATAGTTCTAAAACTATGATTAGGTTTAAAAGGGATTATTAATGTTAAGAATGAATCTTACGAGGGTTTTTCCATGTTCAATTCATAATCAGGTAAATACACAATTACTATGCTGTCTAGAGAGGGTAGATCACAATATTACGTAACTTGGCCTAAATGACAGAAAATCGATATCTTTTTCAATTAAGTGTTTCCACAACAAAGCCAGGGCGAAAGTATTATTTCAAAAGACAGCTCGAAGCTAAAGTAAAGATTCTTGAGATTTTACCGTCTTCTGCAATTGCTGTTCTCAAGGTACTTTATCATCTTTGAGACCATACTTTCTTTGTACGATCTGAATTTTTCGTCTTTGATATCACGAATAAGACTCCTACAAATAAAACAGGTTTGAAGGGTGAACCGAAAATATAGGAAGTCTTAATATAGAAAATTAGAAGCTCTTTCTCGCGTAAAATCTCTATATTTGTACGAACGTTAAAACAATTCAACCGAAAAT